AAATCCAGGATGGGACGCAGCCCACCACCGCGCTTGTCAATCAAAAAGTATCGTGAATAAAAACAAAACGAACAAGCGTTGGGGTCAACTAACGAGATGGCCCCTTTTTGTAACAACATAGTAATTTCGTCTAACAATTGTGGGGAAGCGGAGGTGTCCCTCACATGGCCCACCCTAGGGAGGTCCTCAAACTCTATAGAATATCCCCCAAACACAATAGACAGGACCCAGTTGTCAGAGGTTATGTTAGCCCACTGCGCACCAAAGGGTGTGAGTCTGTCCAGAAAACAGGGCAATGGTCCTGAATGAGGTATCGCGTGCGGTACCGTCTCAGGAATAGAGAAACAGTGCGGAAACGGGTTTGTAACTTGTGAGTTAACCGTAGGGGTGGGTGGTGGGAGCTGTTGAGAAGCGCTGTTCAGGCCTGTATTGTCATCAAAGGCGCTTCCTGGAGGCCCCTGGGGCTTTGGCCTTCCCCTGGAAAGGTTGCGCCTTGGGCTTCTGAAAATAAGGTGTTTGTCGACCACCTTGGTATCTAGAGCTCCCTCCCGGCCTGTTTCTGAAGAGTCCCGAGAAGGAGTTTCCAAAGGGTCTTCGGTAAGGGGAGGGGGACTGCCACCTATTCTTGGGTTGGGAGTACGGTTGCCAAGTGTAACCGAATTTTGACGCCGATTGTCTGACGTCTTGCTTTTGTTTCATACGGTCATCCGTGTTAGGGTTGAAGAGCCCTTCCTCATGGAAGGGGAGATCTTCCGCTAAGGCTTTCCCCTCCTCCGAGAGGTTAGCTGCCCGCAGCCATGCGTGGCGTCTTATTGACGTGGCGGTGGCGAACAGGTTACCCGCCGTTTCCGCCATGTGTTTCGCGAAGTCCTTCTGGATTTTGGACAACGCTAAAGCCTCGCCATGTAAAGCTTTAGGGAGGCGTTGGGCATCCTGTGGGAGAGATTCGATGTGGGGTAGCATCCTGTTCCAAAGGAACGTTTGATATCCACTCATATACGTCGCGTAATGCGACATACGAGTGAACAAGCTGGCTGAGAAATAAGCCTTTTTTCCCAGCGTGTCCAATTTCCTGCCCTCCCTATCTGGTGGAGTAGTCACAGAGTTCTTGGGACGTTTGGTTTTGATGACTTCAGCCACCACGGTGTTTGGTTTTGGAGGGGCCATAACCCACTTAGCGTTGGACAGTTCAATTTTATACATGGAGTCCAAACGCCTGGGGACCGACGGCACCGAAGATGGCGGCATGTCCACAATCTTCGCTAATTTCAGGAGGTAGGGCAACATTGGGAGGGCCGAGGAGGGGGTGGCGTTCTGTTCCTTGGATGGGAACATCGGATCCTCTATGTGCTCAGGTGGTTTGGGAGCAGGGATATCAAGTGCCCTTATCATGCGATCTATAAGTGCTGCGAACTTGTTAAAGTCGGGGGGCAACACAGAGGGATCATCAGCTCCCATTTGTTGCTGGGCATCTAGGGGCTCAGCTTCCGAGCCGCTTTCTCCTAGCTCTATACACTCTTGGGCCGGGTCCCCGGGGGTTCCCATTGGAGTGGCAGCTAAGGCTAGGTCAAGTTGGGCAGGTTCTGCACCACCACTGGGGCCTGAGAACTGATCCACGGCAGGAGGCCCCACAGAAGGTCTACACAAAGAGAGGTCAACACAATCAGAAGGTCTACACAATGAACGGTCAACACAATTATCGCCTGCAGTAGGCCCAGCAGACAGTCTCTCAGTCGGTCTGCATAAAGTATAGTCAACACGATCATAGTTTATAGGCACGTTAGGAGAGGTCCGGCCAGGACCAATAGCAGTACCTGCTGGCAAGGAAATGTTCGCTGTCGTAGTTGCCCTAGTCTCTGAGAAGACAGGCGGTGTGGCTTGGGTTGGGGCAGCTGCCGCGACGCTCTGGTGCGGGGCCTCAGGTAGCAGGGTCCCCAAAGCGGTAGATGCGCATGCCGATTGCATCGGGAGCGGTACCGGGGCCGGAATAAAGACCAGCTGACCAGATGGCCCCATCTGCCAGTAGCCTGGTGGTTGCATGGGGCTGGGCCTGTAGTGCCTCCCGGATCGAGAGCGCGAAACCCGGGAGTGCCGCCGGCGCTTGGAGCAGGCCGAGGAGGAGGAGGAAGACGAGGAGGAGGAGGTCGAAGAGGAGGAGGAGCGACGGGAGGGGCGCCTGGAGCCCGGACCACCCCTCGAGGAGGAGCGGAATTGTCGGCGCCGAGACCTTTTGCTCCTTCGGGATGGAGAACGGGAGCGTCTCGGGCGTCTCACTGAGCGGCTGGATCCCTGAGGAGAGCAAGCCTCTCTTTGGCCCATCTGGGAAGGAGGAGTTTGCGCAGCCGCAGTGGATGGGGGAGGCGCATCCCCTGGCATCCCTCCCACGGCAGTGGGAGGATTCAGGAACACCGGTCCCGCCTCAGCGGATGGAGGAGATCCCAAAGCGACCGGTATCGGGGAGATCATTTCTCTAGTCAAGGTCGCCTCGGTAAGCAGGGGAGCGTTGAATATGCCCCCAAAGGCTTGGCTGCTGGACGCAATCGGCTCCGGGGTAGCTGCCGGGATCGTGGCCTCTCTGCGCAGCGTAGGCTCCTCCAGGGGAGTATCGTTCGATCCCCCGCGGGGGGTCTCAGCAGGCCTCAGTCTCTCAGGGGGTGAGAGGATCGGCATTGCTGGAGTGAGAGAGGAGGCGGAGCTCGGGTCTCCCTGGGCTGGATACGGGGAGCATATCGGGGCTTCTCCTGCACCCATATTATTCGCCGTCAGGGGGCGCCCGTGGCCTTCTTGAGTTGTTAGGAGAGAAGGGGGAGCGGGAGCGGCTGAGGATGAAGAAGGGTTTCCCGCTCTTTTAGATGCCGCCTTTTTGACAGGAAATTTCTGGCGGCCATCTTTTGGGGCGCTATCTTTTGGAGCTTTTTGCTTCTTTTTTGCCGAGCCAGCAGGCAGGCTCAAGAAGGATGCAGTGGAGGCCGCCGAAGGAGCCCTCTGAGGAGCGGCGGCCGGGGGCAAAAGAGCCCTCTCGTAGAGCGCTGCCTTAAGACGAACCTCCCGGTTCTTCCTCGTCTGAGGAGTAAAAGCCATGCAGATGGCACAGGATTGGGTCAGATGGCCCTCACCTAGGCACGCCAGGCAGAGGGAGTGCCCGTCCATGTCCGGGTAAGTATTCGGGCACTTCAAGCATTTTTTAAAAGAAGTAGTGGCCATCGCGCCTAATGAGAGCGCAGATAAATGGATAGTCGACAGTCCGGGTCAGAACACGAGTCTAGCAATCAGTCCAGGGGATTAGGCAATACCTTGGTCGAAAAACAGTCCAGTCAAAAGCCAGGAAAAGGATCGTAAGAATGCTCGCAAAGAGAGAGGTTCTCAAGCTGTCTTGCTGAATAGCGCGGAGAAGAGAACTGTTGGCTAGCCCCGCCCATGGGCTAATTATACTCGGGGGAAGGGTGGGCGGGCCTAGCCGGGGTTTAATTGTTACTTTTATTTCTAGAAGGTTCCGAAAAGCTGTATTGCGCAGGCGCAAACACCACATGTATGATTCACAGTGACTACGACAGGAAAATACAGGAGCTATAGTCCAGCATCTGGAGGGCCACATAAAATGATATGCTGGGCCGAATTTGGACTGCAGGCCTGGAATTTGACACGTGCACTAGATGATCATTTTCATTAAGAGGGCTAGTGGCAACAAGCCAATGTCTTTCTGTTCCTGGAAGTACTCCCGTTTAAATAATTTAATTGGGTTTTGTTTGCCCTTAGCCAAAATACAAGACCCATTGCAAATGGACCGTTAGCTGTCCTCAGCACACAGCGGCTTCAAGTATCTTTGGTTTTTCAGCTGCACTTCAACTTTGATCCACTTTTAGCTTTTTTTACCTTACTAATCTTCACAGTTCAACCGAGCATGGCTGTTATCTGAACTTCTCATGTCTTAGGTGCAACTTTTGCCCCATCATACAGAATCTTATAGGCTCATCTCTCTCTTTCTCACACACGGGTAAATCTATCAGCAGTGGGTTTACATACCTCCATTTTTTCTTCCACAAGAGAAGGGGTGTGATCAAATAGTGAAAGCCTATAGCTTTTGGAAAATGTGATAGATATCTAAGACTCATAAAATGGAAGGCAAGTCAAACTGTTTTGGCATGCAAACATGTCTATCATGCAATTGTATTCAGAGAGAAGGTGACCTCAGATTATTGTAAATTGTTCATGCATAAGGAAGGGGCCATGGTAAGTGAAAACTTGAGCAACCATGAAAAAAAGTCACATTGCAGTTTGTATTGAAAAATATTTCTACAAAGTAATCACTCAATTTACTACTCACTTCTACTCTCCCTTTCCATCAATGTGTTCCTTAGTAATTTGGTATATCCAAATGAATTATTTTCTTGAGCAAATGCATTTGTTCATGTTTTCCTTATTTCAACTGATGACAAGATTTAATTTTCGTCTTGAGGTTTAAACGCATTGGCAATATACTAGAGAGCCTTAATATGCAAATATGCTACAGAAGCAAGAAGAGGTCATTGGTGTGTATAAAGGCAAATTCAATAAATTATGTATAAAATAAAGCCAGTGTTATTTTTGGACAAAGATATGATGCTCTCAGCATTTTGCTGTACTGACTGACAATGTGGTGCAGCTGTTCCTTTTTCACGCTGTGTCAATATATTGTTGCTTGCATAAGTAATTTAGAGCCTGTTACAGAAAAAAAATCAAACCTAATGTTTGCAAAGACATTTGAGAATCTTGCTAGCGAGTGTAGCATTCAGAATGTTTATGTATGTAAAAGGACTGGTTTTTAGAAATAAAAGAGGGTGAATCTTTCCCCATAGATGCAGCAATACCTGTTATGTAATAAATAACAAGAGCAATATGTCCATTCTAGTGTGTTTCCTTCACTTTCCATCATGCCTAAAGCATTTTCATGACCTAAATCATGTTGAAAATACCAAGCAAGCAAGCCTGTTTCTGGAGTGCAAAGAAAGAAATACAAGAAATTTCAGTGTTCAGAATACTGGTGTTTCTTTTTTTATTTAAGAAGAGAATAAAGCATTTTAAATATATTATTTTTAAGTATCCTACACTTAAACTGGGATGCTGGTTTGCACCTGAACACTGCTTAAAACCAAGGATGAAAGCAATGGCCCGCACCCAACCCCAAATACTGATGCAATAAACAGATGGCTCTAGAGCAAACACTGGTTCCGAAGTCCCTTAGTTAAAAAGGTAGTAAAAGAAAATTAATGAATACACCAGCAGCTATAACAACAGCAACACAGAGCAAGTTCAATGCTCTGAGAAAACCAACTTCCTTTGTTGTTATTATTATTATTATTATTTTACAGAATATTGATTTCACTGTAAGGCATGAAGGTCTGTTGTATGGTTACCAAAATGGTAGCCACAATTATGTGTATGGCTCCCAATACTTCAAAGTGGGGCCAAGGGTACAAAAGAAGTTTTGGCATTAAGTAGTAGAACAAGAATCTATTCAAGACAGGAGTCCCCAGGGCAAGTTAACTCAAAAGTACTTTCACATTATTACAAAAACAACTTCAACTGGCTGAACACAAGGACCCCCAAAAATTCCCATGGCAAGAACATAGCAAGCACACAATGAGATGACACTTTGGTGGTGGAGGAGTGGAAATGCTCATTCGGTTTGTACTAAATAGTATAGTGATTTCCCACATGATTGCCTTCTTACCCTGTATGTCAAAACCACATTTAGAATAATGACATGTAAAAACACAACCAAGAGCCATAAATGGTAATAGCTGCTGTGGTGAGAGTTATCCTCAAGCAAGAATAGCTTGATGTTACTACTGACTATTCCAAAGAATGGAGTTTGAAGACCACACTCAGACTGAACCCTGTCTGAAATGAGAGAACATGAAGGTCATGTACTGAAAAGAATACATGGCAGACTGAAGTCTCATTTACACTAGCATAATTCCAAAGCATCCCCTCCCCACACACACACAGACAATTTGGGTTTTATTCAGGTACAACTAAAACAAGAAACAAGTTCAAAATTTCTTCAAGTATAATACTGCTTGGTAAGTAAATAATCATTGCTACTATTGTTCCCACACAAGTGGGAATTCTGATATATGTACCCTAATCCTAGTGAAATATAATACTGCTTTATCTCTGTATCTGGAAGTGACCTTAACTAAATTCCATGTAATAATATCTGTTGCAAGGAGCCCCATTTTGTAGTTTTGTGAAATGGCTACTGATGATTCCTGAGACTGGAGAGAGGCTTTTTGTGTATAGGTATGTGCTACATGTATGCAAGCTGTATATATGTGTTGCACAGAGAGCCTTTAGAAAAGGCAGTTTGATAATGAGGGGAGGAGGACTGATTAACTAACAAGTGAGTATGTGGAACAGTATGATAAACAACAGGATCAGTGGTAACAACCGGATTTGCTGTTTTGCTCCTACTTGCATGAGTTATCACTATTAGTTTTTGTAAGTCCATGCAAATCAGAACCAGACACAAAAAGATAATTAAGAAATAATCATGTGAACTGCAAGGCATGGAAAACCAACACCCAAATGAAGATGGGGGTGTCTTTCCAAGCCAGTAATAGCACTTCTTGTTTGGCTTTTATGCAAGTTAGGGTTATATGAGTAAAGTGATGAAAAATTGCTCACAGAACTAAAATACTGAAGGAAATGTAAATGCTATGCTCCCCGTGTTCCACAAGCAGAACAAATCAGTTTGACATTTCTCTTCAAGTTTTTTCCAGTTGCAATAAACTTGCATTGTAAATATTGAAAAAACCTGACCAATAGGAGAATGGCTTCAACAGGAAAAACATACTCTCTTTCATGAACGAGAGCAGTTCATTTAGAAGTCTTGCTGATGTACCACATGGGTTCTTCATAGGAAGAAAAAAATACAGAAAGAAAATAGAAAAACAGCATAAACAAAAGTTGCCTCTGGAAAGTGATTTTTTTCTTTTTCTTATGTCCAGGACATTCCAGGGCCTAGTATGTTTGATTCTGTGTTGCCTGCAGAATAGCAAACATTGGCTGTAGAAGAGAATGAAGGTGTGGGTTATTGGTCTAAGTACTCCTATTTATAACTTGTGGCAGCTGTAGTGAAAGGGAAGGATTCCTTGTAAAATCTTGGATACCAACTACAACAACATCTTGCTTTTGCAGCACATTCAGCGGCTTAGGCAGCTTGGAGTGCTCTAGGATGGCTGTGTTTATCTGTTGCAGCAAAAACACAAAGAGTTTTGTGGCACCTCAAAGAAGCACACATTTTATTATTGCACAGGTTTTTGTAGAATAAGTGGCTTGTAGTCCACAGAAGAGCATGCACTATTAAAATGTGCTGTTCCTTAAGGCGCTCCAAGACTCCTTGTTTTTTGTTTTTTTTTTACTTGTGACCTGGGCTCTTTTCTCTGCTGTTACATTGCAAAAGGCTTATTTTTTGTGCAATACATCAACACAAGAAGCTTCCCGGATCTTGGAGGAAGGCCATGCAATGTGTTCTGGGGTATATAAGAGAAGAGCTTGATGCTGCATGGGTAGGATTCACTTGCTGGTCTTCTTTTTCACCTTGGTGGCATTGATGTCTGCTTTTGTCTTTTGGATTCGGGAGAAGATCTCTTTAAAGAGGGCCTTGTATTCTGGTTGACTCTGCTCTAATCTCTTGTCCACAGCCTCCACGTGTTTGCTAAGGCTCTTCTCCATTGTCTTGAGCTCATCTAGCTCAAAGCCGTCTCCCCTGAAGTCTCTAAAGGAGCTGTCCCGAGAGATGGGGCGGGAGGTCTGGACACCAGCATGGCGCACGCTGTCCTTGTGCTGTCGGCACTTGCTGAGGAGCTCCTCATACTTCTCCAGCAGGGCATGATACTGTTCATCCACTTCCCTAAGGATTGACATCCCCCTCTTGCGCACATTATTAGCATGGAGTGTGTAGTTGCCTTCATGTCTGCTCACAGCATCCTTGGTCACAATGGCATTTAACGCTGTGTCACTACAGCTTTTCCGTACAGGATGGTTTGGGGAGGCTGTCATGGACGAGTTGTGGATTTTACCTCCTTCTTCCTCAGACAGATCAATGTAGTCTGCTTCTGGGGCATTGTTTAATGGTTCAAGAAGTGCTTCTGACAGGTTGTCCTCTCTGCTGAGGAGATACTTCTTGACTTGTTTCATCTGCTGAAGTTCCAACAACTCAGTTTCCAGCTCTTTGATGCGCAGCTTGCAGCTCTCCATCTCACATACTCGCTGCTCAAGGTCTGAGTACTCCTGGATGACGGATGTGTACTCTTTCTCCACCCGCTCCTTTCTCTGTTTCTCCTGGTTGACCTGGGACCTGAGGGAAGTCACCATTGCTTGTAATCGCTCATTCTCACGCTCCAAGGGCATCTGACTGAACTCCATTGAGGAGCTGTGAATCTGGAAGGCATCTTCGTATCTGGTGCCCAAAAATCAAAACAAGCAAATAGCAAAAAGAACACAGCGGTTAGCAATTTAATACTTATTGCTTCCTATATGCATAGGTAGACATAAACATTCAGTGGATGAGGTAATTTGCTAGGAATGTTTGCTAGGGATGCATACACGGTGGAAGTAAAGGTAAAGGTTTACCCTGACATTAAGTCTAGTTGTATCCAACTCTGGGGGATGGTGCTCATCTCCATTTCTAAGTTGTCCATAGACACCTCCAAGGTCATGTGGCTGACATGACTGCATGGAGCACTGTAACCTTCCTGCAGAAGCAGTACCTGTTGATCTACTCAAATTTGCATGTTTTCAAACTGCTAGGTTCGCAGAAGATGGGCCTAACAGTGGAAGCTTACCTCACTCCCTGGATTTGAACCACCAACCTTTTGGCCACCAGGGGGCTCACACTGTAGAAATAATGCAGTTTAGTGCCATGGCAGAAGGCTATGGAATAATGAGAGCTGCATTTTTACCAGGTCTTTAGTCTCCTCTACCACAATGTTGGTACCTCGTCAATCTAAAAATTCCAGGATCCCACAGCACTGAACTAAGTTAGTTAAAGTGGTGTCAAACTACCTAAATGTGTGTAAGGGTAGCTGCATCCTACATGTTACATACATTTCTCATACCATTGAATCATATTGCCAATCCTTGTTATTTCAATTTATACTTCGCATTTCTCCAGTGAATGGGATTCAAGACACTGTTCAATTAAATAGAACAAATACAACAAATGAACAAATAATACTCATGACATGATGTAACTGAATTTGGAAAAAAAAAATCTGTTCCAGGTTTGAAAGTGTGAGTTATTCTTAGAAAACTATACCAAAATGTGCTGCAGGATGTCCTGCAAAAACAAAGTTTTTGCAGTTTTATAAACTTTTCCCATGTTTTTATGATAGAACCAATTAGGAAATGACATCACCCAGAACAAAAATCATGTTACATAGTGTTATCAATGCTCGGCTTTTCTATAAGTGGTGTTTTTTCAGTGGCAGGAGAATCATTCCAATATATGATTGCCTATTTTAACAATTATCCAATTTATTACAAACCTCAAGTTTAGAAGATAAATCCACGTGTCATGTCTTCATATGGAGATGTAGGGATGCCAGTTAAAAACCTGCAGAGGGCTCCTATACATTTAACGGCTGCATAGAAGAAAAGAGCAGGGGGCAGTTGATACCTGGTTGTGTGACAAGTTGCACCTACTGACATCCTCTTCTACACAACCGTTGTAAAGGAGTCCTGTTTGGTCTTTAGTCTAGCAACAATAGAGACGTGGCAGCTCTTATCTGTTTTCTGCACTTATGTGCCTCTAGGTGGGGTTTAGGTCTCACTGCTGTTAAACTTTGGGGGCAAAGAAGGAAAAGTCAGCAACAGAAAGCCTTATTTCTTGGTTCAGAAAGCCTTATTTCTACTGTCAAATCATTTTCTCTCTCTGTGCTGTGTCTTCAGAACCTCTGTTCCTCATAAATTAAGGTTGATTGTGGAAATGGGTATAGGAGGGAGGATTGACAGAAGCCAAACACAGTGCAAATAAAGTATGGCATCCCTTATTGGAGCGGGTGGGAAAGGAGTACAGGCAATTCCTAAAATGAAAGCCAGCTGAATGAGCTTTGAAATGTATGCCTTTTCTCTTCAGACATCTGGTTTAGCTTGAAAAGTAAGAATAAAAGACCTTTTTTTTCAAATTTAGACATTTGTTCAAATAATTTAGACATAAAGTGGGCTGTCAGTAGTTTCTAGGCATGAAACAGAAAATACTTCTGAATGAGAAATAGTGCAGATAATTATTTTTCTAGCAAGCTCTATTTATTACCAGTGTGGCGGGACTACCCTGATCTGTGTTGATAGATAACCAGAAAGGTAGCTACAGTGGCAAGGGAAGGTGCACACTGTCCCTCCAAATAGGAATCACTGCCCTTCCAATGACATTTTTTTTCAGGTCCCAAATTTCTAGCACTGTGAAGAATTAGGCTGTTAAAATCACCCCCAGAACTCTTCTATTTGCTATGTTCATGTTGCCCTTTTCTTGTGGATGCTTACAGCATTTTCAGCTGACATTTTTAGTAAAGTAACGCCAGAACTTTGAGGATCAAAGAAAAATCCATTTGGGGGCATAGAATTCTTATTTGGGATGCAATATTCTCTTTTTGCCTCCACCGCCACATTCGTAGGTACAGCTGTGCTGGTAACTCTGGAATAGGGTAATTAGTCTGTTCCAGGTGCAGGGAATGCTACTAATATTAATTTCAACCCAACCCCCTCCCCCTGGACACACTATGAGACACATCAACTCTTTACACGGGAAATGGTAAAACTTCTAATATCTAGAATTATGGTTTGTTTTATGCTATTGGGAGAAGCATGGGTGCTCTCTGTATAGCCAAATTACCACCCCAGAATGCTTCCAAGAAAATGATTTTTTCTTCCATTTCTTTCCAGCCGGTTGAGATGGGAGGTTTGACAGAAGACAGAGACATCAAAATGGCCTGGAAATGAGACCTATGGATTATACCTTGCCTCACCCCACTCTACAAGACCCAACAGACACTACCTTACTCCATTTCTCATATTCCCACCCTATTTTAAGGAAAGATTTGAAGATGTAGTTAATGGGCAAGAGTAACAAAAAATGTGCACATTAGACATAGTCCATAGTTACATCTACAGGAAAACTTACAGCATGCTGGATATGCATTGGGAGTGTGTTTCGATTTCTAGAGTGCTACTATAACCATTAAATAAGCCTGCTAAACAGATCTGGATATGACTATGTGGCTATAGGGGCCAATAAAAAATTCACAGGCCACCATGGAGTTGGAACAGCTCATCTCTGGAACTTTATGTTCAATCTCTAAAAGATAGTTCTGTAAAAAGGCTTTGAAGCTTTCCAAAGAGAGTGGGAAACTGGTTATAAAACAAGCAGAGGGAGAAGCTCAGTCCCTTTGGAATAAGGCAAATCCCTCTCTTATTTTATAATATCAAAACCCTGGTTTATCCACTGTCAGCATATCTTCTTCCCTGTCCCTTAGATATGGTGGATGAGATGCTCCACCTCCTCTTTGCTCCAGTTCACTCTGGAATTGTTGAGGGGGAGGAGAGTGTTCTCAAAATTATCTTTAACTGTTTTAAGTCAGTGTGACCTACAAACATCCAAAGCAAAATCCTATAAAGCAACAGTCACAGCACAAAGGTGAACGGGGAGCATATTTTGTAGGCAGTGAACAGATTTTTGCTTAGAGTCAGGCCTTATCTTCTTTTTGTTTCAGGCCAGAAGTTTTGTTTGTTAGATCTCATGGTTTGTCTGTATGTACCGTTTGGTTTATTTATTATTTACACAGTGTTCTCAGAATAATGGAAATAGTTTTATGGAGATATTCTCAACTCCTTGCATAGTAAGGCATTACATTTCATCTACCATGATTAAATACTTCTGTGAGTTGTTGCAAACTTGAGAGTCACTCATGTTTTTTTAAAAAATTACAACAGGAAAGGACAAAGGCAGCTGGAGAGGGCAGGAAATCACTGGCATACCATTAACATCAAATACTACTACAACTGAGACCACCTAGTGGCACAGTGGATTAAACTGCTGAGCTGATGAACTTGCTGACTGAAAAGCTGGTAGTTCAAACTTGGGGAGCGGGGTGAGCTTCCGCTGTCAGCCCCAGCTTCTGCCAACCTAGAAGTTCAAAAACATGCAAATGTGAGTACAGCAATGGGTACCACTTCTGCAGGAAGGTAACAAGACTCTATGCAGTCATGCTGGCCACATGACCTTGGAGGTGACTACGGAGAATACTGGCTCTTCAGCTTAGAAATTGAGATGAGCACCCCCCCCCCAAGAGTCAACAGACTTAATGTCAGGGGAAACCTTTACCTTTTTACTACTATAATTAACAAATGAGCAAATTCAACCAAAAGAAATTGCTCTTCTAATTATCCTCCTTTTCTCCCTAATTATTGTACCTGGGACTTGAGCACAGTTCCTTGAGACAAGGAAAAGTATGGATGGTTCGGCGTCTCTCTCGCTTCTCTCGGCGGATACGCAGCTGATCTAAGCTTTGCAACTCTTCTACTTGCTTCTGCAGTTCATCTACTTGGTTCTGCAGTCCTTCTATGGTTTCTGTCAGACTACAGATCCAGAGGAGAAGGAAAAGAAGGACAGAAATAATAAAAAATAATTATATTTATTTATATTCTTAACATTTGAACTGAAAGAGGATCACAATTTAAAAGTACAAAACAATTAAAACATACAAATAATTATGTTAAAATAGAATTAAACTAATTCCCTTATTAAAACAGTATTTATCTGAGTAAACTAATAACATACAATTTAATTAATACTTTTACAAATGTCAGTTAAAACAATACAACACCCTAGCCCATTCTGTCTGAATAAAAAGGTTTCAGTAAACAAATTGACTCCAAACCCCTTGGTTGACTTGTCCAAGAATTACTGTACTTTAACTCCTATCAAAACAGGAACCATCTTCTTCTTTGAATAGAGTGGCAAAAGGTCAAGTTTATTCTGTCCCAGGAGAACCCAAAAGAAGCACAGGCCACCTCTGTTTTCTCTACCCTAATGCTGCTTCTAGCCTTTTTGAATGCCTGGGTAGGAAAATGGAAGAAGTGGCAAGGGACAGCTGGACCCCTGAGGTGGCACTGGCTTGTCTATAACTCACATCAAAAAATCCACAATTTTAGCTCCCAAAACCTGCCTTTGACTAATACATGAGGTTGACTTATACATGCACATTATGGATAAAGAATTTCTGCATCAAGTGTTTGAAACCAAATAACTCTGCTTAAGTTTTGAATTTTTTTTCATTTCTTCAGAAATTGCCAGATGCAATTTCTACTATCCTAAGGCAGATTTGCATTCAAAAATTACAGGTCTATGACTGTTCTGTCAGGAATGTGGAGACATAGCTTAACAACCTTTTGCTTCTTGGCTTGGGGCGGGATTTCTAAAATCACAGCTTTATAACTGAAACCTAATTGCTCTCTCTGTGATGTAAACAGCTAGTTTTCCTTTCCACCTTCCTTTTACACTTTCCATATAGTATTACAATCTGAGGGGACAACATGCTATCTCAATTTAGAAATCATAGCTACGTGAGTCTTTCTCTGAAGCATTACCATTGTATCTTCTGATGAGATGCTTTACTGTCTAGCACCAGCTTCTGGTTGGCCAGTTCAAGGTCCCGTGCTGTCATATCCAACTGCTCATAGACTTTAGCATGCTGTTCATTCATATGCCGTAACATTTCCAACTGTTTTGTCAAATACTGAAAAAAAGGAGTCAAAGCAAAATGAATCTCAACAACCATTACAAATAATGTGAAAAATGCTATTCAGGGCCTTTTTTTAACCATACTTGTTTGCAGTTTTGGGTTCTTTTTCTTTTTCCTCTTTTTAATAGTTGCTTAGATGTAGTGGACAATATGTAATGTTGTAGTTTTTGTAGTTTTATTCATCTAAATAACTGAATTGTGAACTTTATATTGTCTCTTTCTTAAATAAAAATTATTTTTAAAAAGAAAAAGTAACCATATTGGGTTGAAAAATGGAAGAGATGAAGCAACCAGAAGTTTATGAATAACTAAGTATGGTATATTCCTTGATTACCTAAGGAATACAATTTTAAAATGCATCTTTTTCTTCTTTTTTATTTTTGATATGTTGAGGGCCCTTCTACACTGACCGTATAATGCTGTCTGAAGCCAACTTGAGGGCAATCCCGACGGTCACAAAATACACAGCCCAAATGTGTGCTGCAGTGAGGATCAAGCCAAAGCAGTGTATTTAAAAAAACCTCACCAAAAAGTGTGGAATAAACCCTAAAACGTGCTGCAGCTGACTATAGTGTATCCCATATGTGCTTGAAACCGGGACTAGAAAATGTGGAGTGCTTGTAAGAATACCACTCGCAAAAATACCAAAGCATAGCTGGCTGGACAAAGGCAAGGACATACAAGTGGCAAATTACTCCCCTAACACAGGTGGCAAATTATTCCCTGACACAGTCCAGCACTGATCCCAAACAGACAATTAGATCTGTGCATCAGTGGATCTTAGTAAATTGGTTCAAAAACTTGCATTTTTCAGCAGCCATCTAGCCACAGATACTGTTTCCTGGATTCAGTTCTGAACCGCATTCAGTGATACTGTGGCTCCCGCTTCATCCTCCTACAGATTCCTGGGATGTTTATGTAGGCGCCACAAAGCAAACCGGTTTAGTTTAACCCAGTTCTAACTATATTATACTTTCAGTGTAGAAGTAGACATAGTCAAATAAGTTATAGGAGCTCATATGGCAGCTGCTGTCCACATTTGATAGTCAAAAACGACACACTGCACAATCTAAGGAGTAACTGTTTTCTGATTCCTGTGTTAGTTTGTTGGATGTGTGCGGATTACATGCCCCTCCTTGCTCATTTCCGTGGCCTTCCGAGCTTTTCCCAAACCTGCAAAGCTTCTGGACTCATTTAGGGTTGCCAGAGTGAAAACTGCAGAAGACTTCTGTACCTTAAATGTAGCACAGAAGGGAATTTTAGCAGCTGTTACTTGTTGTCTTGTGACAAGTAACATCTGCTAAAATTCCCTTTTCTATGAAGCCAAGAAAGCTTCAGGAGCCCTCTCTAATTTCCATTCTGACAATCTTGTGGACCATCCATTAAAAATAAAATAAATGCCGTTTTCACCTTAAATGCACATGCAGCTCTTGAAGGTTTCTACAAATGATATATTAACTTTTTAAAAACTCATCAACTCTTCAAAGCCCACAAGGCTGTTATGGAAGCTGGAGCTTACAACTAGAAATGAGTTCTGTCTGTATGGCTTAGCAGGTTTCGTGGCCTAAAATGATGTGGCATAGCCTGGTGGGGAGGTGAAAACTGATTCTTGCACACACTACCCCAAAGCCTACCACTGTGACCTGAAGTCAGGCATTTTATCCTGTAGCTGTTATTCCAGATTTAAAATTTAAAACAGACTTTTAAATAAGAGGAAATTATTCTTTCTCTCAATTTCTTCTTTTTAGGTCTTCTAATAAAAATGTCTAATAGAGGAAACACAACATTCTTCTCAAAATCCAGCGGTTTGGCTTCTACGTAAAAAAAGAACTTTAGAGAAATTGGAGATTTAAAAATTCAATTTCTCACTGTAATTTACATTCTTCACAACATTTCCTATTTTAAACACAAAACATGCAATTATGATTTTTTTGAAATCATAATTTTCAAAATTAGATTTTCAAAAATACTGCTGAGCAGGAAGGAAAGAGTTTGTGGAGGAAGCCATTTCACCCCATTTCTGGAGCTTTGTTAGACACTAATCTGGGGCTCAGTGTAGTTCAAAGTGACCCTTATTAAAGCAGCTGCTCGAATGAAAACATACGGGGTGAGAGGATTTTCCCTGTTGGGTACAACACTGTCTCGCTGAACTGACGTGTTCTTGCAGTCCTTAATCCACTTCTGTTTCAGCCCCCTTCCAGATGGGCTGGTTCGCCCTCCTCCTAATAGTACAGCTCTGTTGCTTGCAACTCCCACTGGCTACACCATAGCACTGAAAATGCTGCCTAAAATTGGCACATGCCTGTTCACAGCCATGCTCAGTTTATACTGGATGAAGAAAAGTTATTTGGGTGATTTATAGACCTATGATTCACCAGAGAGGCCCCGGTGGCACAGTGGGTTAAACCCTTGTGCTGGCAGGACTGTTGACTGACAAGTCAGCAGTTCGAATCTGGGGAGAGCGGGTTGAGCTCCCTCCATCAGCTCCAACTACCCAGGTGAGAACATGAGAGAAACCTCCCAGAAGGATGGTAAAATATCAAACATCTGGGCGTCCCCTGGGCAACGTCCTTGCAGACAGCCAATTCTCTCACACCTGAAGTGACTTTCTGTTTCGCAAGTCCCTCCTGACACAAAAAATAAAAACAAACCTAAGTATTGCTATGACGTACCTCGATCTCTTGCACTTGCTCCTCATTGGTTGCATACATTTGCTGTAGGGAATCCTCCAGTTCTTTGTTGCGTTCTAGCAACGTCTTCCCCAGTTCAGCTGCTAAGTGCAAGTCTGAAAAAGAAAAACAATCATGTGTTAAAGGCATTTTCTCCAAACCTTCATGAATACAGCACATGTGTGAAGTTGGCAAAGTAAATTAATCCACTGAAAACACTTTAAACCAAACTTCCAGACAACTAATGGGGGCACAAACCACATACCATGTTCAAAAAGAAAATCTGCAAACAGGAATGCATGAATAAGGCAGGAGCTGCAATTGAAATAACTCAGGAATGGCACTGAAACTAGCATTGGATTGCAACAGCTATGCTTTCCTCACTGCTGATGACTTGCAGGGTAGAACGAACAAAGATACTTCTGTATCTTCAGCTGGAATCTAAAAACATGGAACCTAGCAATGCCAAGAGGATGTGATCGCTGACTGAACTGAAAGGAGCAGGGATGAGTGGTCTCTGGACTTGGGGGCTATTTTCTATCTCCATGATCTGCTATGGGTCAACAGATCTTGCTTTGGAAACCCCAAAGAAGTTAGAAACTTATGTGTAAACAAACCCTTTGGTGGAGCAAATAAGTCAAGAGGGGGAGCCCTGTGCCTTGTTTTAAAGTAGAAACACTATGCCTAGAAGCATCCTACTTCTAGGGGAAATTATCATTTTCTCAGTGAAACTGTTTCCAGTGTATGTTTGTGTCTGGAAAACTCTGCATGTTGCCTCAATTGAGTTTGAAAGTGAGGAAATATTGCATTGCTCTGATGTCTTTATTTATTCAAGTGATTTCCAATTATTTACGATTTATTTAGCACATGCACCATAGGGCAACTTGTCCTAATTATCTACCTTAGTGGAAATTGGAAGCAAGCAACGGTGCCACAAAGCTGTTAATTGTATTTCTTTTTTTTACTGCTTGCTAGCCATTCTGAAAGGCTGCACTGAAGAGCAGTGTATAAATCCCATACTAATGATGATAATAGCAGCAGCATCTCCAATATAAATTACGTTTTGCAACCACCACAGACGCTCACAGGAGAGATGTCCATGCCTTATTAGGGAAGACATTTCAGTGCAAATTAGCATCCTTACTGCTTATCTGCTGAAACCAACAACTGTGGTCCCCGTCTGCTAAGTGCCAGCACATAAGGGACAAGGTTTAGCAAAATTACGTTTTTGGATTACAAATCCTTGGGGGGGAGGGGGGGATGACCCAAATCTTCCAGTTATCATAGCCAGTGGCTCTGTGGATTAGAAAATATTGAGAGGTTCAGTTCAAAAAGTAACTTTTCAAAATCTACTCAGGATGGTTTATACGGTTTTGAAGGCATGAAGAACTTTAAAGGTACCAGCAGCTTTGGATCAGTGACGAAGCTACCGGATTTGTTGTATAAACAGCTGAATATTCTGTCAGATCTCAATAACTATCTGGACTTTTTGAACCTGCACTAGCTTTTGCTTCACCTATACAATGAAGATAATGTGTACATTCTGTCAATGGTTAAAACATGTCAGGCTAGGATGCAGAGGCGGCTTTCTGTGTGTGTGCTTCCGACATAGCCTATGGTAGCCCCCTCACAGAATTTTCTGCCACTTGATAAAGTTGTTTTTCATCCAACAAGCTTTTAACTTGCCTAGCTAATTTTCCCCTTAAATGAGCATTTGTTTTCAGAAAAATCTGCTATGATTCTCTTGTGTTGTGATAAATATGACTTTTTAAGTTTTACAGTTTTAAACCTGCCATTTGATGTTTTTAAAATTGTGATTGCAATGGAAGAAATAGCAAAACAGCAACTATTATCAATACAATAAAGGCTTGTGTAAGTAAAATGTGCAAACCACTGACTACCTACTACAATGCAGCCTGAGCCCTGCCACTTGCACAATGGAGAACCTCCTTATAGCAACACCAGAGGCACTCCAAGTGGCCAGCTTCTGGTCAAAGGATATTTAGCATCATACCAAGTTTTTTTAAAACTTTTTGTTTTTAAATGCATTTTAACTGTACCCTCAACTTGCTTTTGACATGATAAGTAAGTAAATAAGTCAGTAAGTAAAATGTAAGGAATTTAGTTTTTATCTTCTTGGACAAGATTCTCTCATAACATTCCCCAGACGATGTTTGTAGATGCTGAATAAATCAGGCAAAGTCCTGCAGTTGATGGGATCAATGTTCAGAGCTTATTGGGGGGCAGACTTATAGTTTACAAAGTACCCGTGGAAGTTGGATTTGTAGATTACAAAGTATTTGAGGATGTTGAATCTATAGTTCTGTCCAAGGATTAACTGGCCCTTGCTTTTCACCCATTTATTCCTCTTGAATTCCCTCAGCCTAGAACAATAAACCCATCTCTTGCCACAGTTTTCACAGCTGCCTTTGTCACGGACTGTTTGATCACCTTTTTGTCTGTGAATGTGTGAGAAGATTGGTGATGTCTTGGTGACTGTAGCCCAAGGCACAAGCTACTATAAACTATTCTGTGCGTGTTAAGACATTTAAAGGCACCTTCTGAAGCAGCCGACCTCTTGGGGGCAGCTCTGCCTTTGGGTGAATTGCTCTAATTATTCCATTTTGGCGAGAAGCCGAAGGAGGCAATGCCAAGGTGTTAATGGAATCCTTGCTTTTCCTTTTGGTTTCCTTGAACTTAAATGAGCAGGGCACCTGCGTAACTATTGTTTAAAAGTGGAGAGGAGAGGAACAGAAGGACAACAGCCCCCACTCCAATTTTCATCCTCCTCAGAACAGTATTAAATTATGATTGGAATAGGATTAAATCATTATATCATCCAAACGCCTTATCGCAATTAGCACTTATGAAATTGCACCTGCACTTCTGCCTACTACAAGCAAGGGTCTTGCTATGGACTCCATCAAGTCAATTGAGAACTGAACTTGAAGTAAGAGTCTAAACATGTAAGTATGAAAAACATGCATTTCAGAGAACGGCTTACCGTGCAAAGAAAAGATACAATGGCATGCAAGAACAAATATATCTTGTTGGCTTTGTCTAATAATAATAATAATAATAATAATAATAATAATAATAATAATCCTTTATTTGTACCCCGCTACCATCTCCTGAAGGACTCGGTGCGACTTACAAGAGGCCGAGCCCAAATACAACAATAAAAACAGCAGTAGCAACAACAACAACACAATAACTCAAAAAAACCAAAGCAATAACAATTAACAACACCCAATGACACAATTAAAAACAATGGCCGGGCCAAATGTAATAATTAAAATTAAAAGTGCTGGGCATGACAAGGTGGGGTGTTTGGAGGGGGATGGGCATGCAGATATCCTGGATCTCTGATAAAGTGTGTTGGGACTTAATGCTAGGAGTTTCCTTATTCTGGAAAGGCACACTGGAACAACCATGTTTTCAAGCTCCTCCTAAAGATTGCTAGCAACAGGACCTGCCTGATGTCCTTAGGGAGAGAGTTCCAGAGTCGAGGGGCCACCACCGAGAAAGCCCTATCCCTTGTCCCCACTAATCACGCTTGTGATGCAGGTGGGATCGTGAGCAGGGCTTCTCCAGATGAACGAAGAGATCGTGTGGGTTCGTACACAGAGATGCAGTCACGCAGGTAGGTGGGTCCCAAACCATTTAGGGCTTTGTAGGTAAGCACCTGCACCTTGAATTGGGACCGGAAAATGAATGGCAGCCAGTGGAGCTCCTTAAACAGGAGGGCTGACCTCTTTCTGTAAGGAGCACCAGTTAACAACCTGGCTGCTGCCCGTTGGACCAATTGAAATTTCCGGGCCGTTTTCAAGGGCAGCCCCACGTAGATTTGTCAGGATGTACATATCAGGCATCATATTACATATGCAGATCATCCTAGACCTTCACAAGACATACGTTGCTGATTCTGTCTCAAAAAACTGATTTCCAATTCTGAGTATTATACCTGAGGACAGTGGTGTCAAACTTATCTGGACCAAGGGTCACATTGGGCCCATGTTGGCCTTCAAAGGCTCTTTGTAATTATAAGGGCTATTTGTAACTACGTATGTTGCCCTGGCATTGAAAGTCCCACGAGTCCCATAAAATAACATGGCAGGCCAGATTCAACCTACTGTCCTTGGGCTTGGAACGTTTGCCCTGGGCCAACTCTGAGAACGGATGGGCTTGTAATTTAAATAGCCCATAATGACACAAAATGACCTGGATCTTATTAAGAGATTTCTTACAGAGCTACCTCCAATTTTTTTTGTCAAGATCAAAAGCATGAGAAAGGGGTTAGAGTTGGAAGAGGAAAATCACGCATTTCAAACTTTGTCAAATAAGAAATTTCATATTCAGTAGCTGCTTGGGCTGTGACTGGTATTCTCTTTCTTTGCCTCCACTACATAATACTGTATATATTGTTTTGGAGTGTTGAAGCTGCTTCTCTCCAGGTAGCACAGCTGAGGTTTCTCCTTGCGTCCCTGAGGATTACGTCAACTTCACCCCACCATATGGCATTCAATTTAATCTGTTGGGATTGGGTTAAATGGATTAGGAAGCCCAGGATTCAACATGATTTTAAAAACTCTTTCAACAGTAATTTTGCAGGAGGCAGAAAAGGTAGAGGAGGAGATGGAGATGCAAGCAGTTAAAGGAAAGGAAGCATGTGATTCTCTTCTAGGGGCAAGAATTCACATAAAGGCAAGCAGAGGTTTAGTTTCAAAACAGACTGTTAAAAAGTAGCTTCTTTTAACCACTATACCCAGGTTTAGTATGTATGGAAATGGGCATATTATAGAAGTATGTGAATGGTCACCCAAAATGTAATGATAAATTAAAAATCAAAGCTAAGTTTGATCGTTTTGCCATTTACCTCAACCTACTTAATGCTCCTTTTATAAAAACACATTTTTTTAAAAAAAGGAAGAATTTTCTAATATGAAATAATACAATATATTTTGCTTGCCATAATAATCTCCAGTTTTAATTTTAAATATTAAATATTTGTCTTCATTGTTTCCTGGTGACAATTTGATATTCTAAATCCATGGGGTTAAAAACTACCATATAATGTATATAGATAACAAACAAACAAACAAATCTCCTTTTTAAT